ATGTTACAATGTATTTTACTTGTGGGCCCTCGATTCTAATAAGTTGGAAATCACAAATATTGTTAACCCGAAAGCTCCTAAATTGTTTTTAAATTCAACTTTTTCTGGTCCGTTTTGCCCTTTTTATCTCCCCGGTAAAACTCACCCTCTCTCTCTCTACTTCCCCCTCCCTGCTCTCTCTCTCTACTGCACTCCCCCCCTCCCTGCTCTCTCTCTCTCTCTTCTTTTTCTCTCTTGTTTTGGCAATTTATGATTGGAGAATGTGAAACTTCTCTCATTCTCTTTCAAATATGACTACTGAGATGTCTTCTAAAAAGGAAAATGCAGTTCCAAACAGTGAAAAAACACATAAAGGGCAAGTAACAAAAAAGTGGCCTCTTTTTTCTCAGACTAACGTGTCAATTTCTTGAGCTCCTTCTGAAGCTCTCCTTTGGAAGCTTATTAAAGAAGGAAGAACATATGTTCCGAAAAGACTCATCGTCATCATCATCCAATCTTTATCCCAATTAATTGGGGTTGGCTACATGTATCAGGTTCCTCCATTTTTCTCTATCAAGGGTCAATGAGAACAATAACATAAGTTCAAGATTCATGATAAGATGTCGTTAAGTTTTACGCTGGCTGCATACCTAACACAACCCACCTCCTTTACTAGGCTTGAGTTGAGTTAAGGGAAAGTTTAAGGTACTTACCCTTCTTAGACTGTTCTAGACACTTAAAAAAAAAATCATTTCCAGGAATTTACAAATATTTATTAGATGTTAGAAGAAAAACTAAAGGAGTTTTGAAAGTCAAATTAGAGATACAAGAAAGACTTGAAGATAGATGAGTCCAGAGAATTTTCTTTCATAAATTTCAGAACACTCTTTCCTGTGGTGAGAGAATAAGAAAATTTTTGCTCTAAAAAATGCGCGTATAGATGCATGAATAACACGTACTCTCCAGACTCTAGAGAGAGAAAGTAGCACAAACACATGGTAAAGAAGGAATTTGCAGAGTTACTTGTACCGAAAATGGCGATTCTTAGGACATCAAATCACTTCTCTGCAGTGATGGAAGGGAGAAACGAGAGCAATCATGTATTGGCCCCTAGTTTGATGGCTCTTTTTGTGAATTTTTTGAGCTACTTTTACTTCTAGATTTGTCTAAGTTTTTGGGATTTTTGGGGCGATTTCTGCAGAACAGCAGATATTGTTGGTCTCTTAGCCTTCTATCAAGTAAAACTACAGTGCTTGAGATTGCAGCTACTAAGGTTTCTCTTGTGATGGAAATCTCTCCCTCCTTTTGGTTTTGTTGGCACTTTCTAACTCTGACTTCATGAATCTCCCTGTCCTTGTGGGGTTTTGAGATCCTTGTAACTCTAGCTTACAGATAATGGATCATTAATAGATGAAGAATTAAAAGGGGGTTTAGGGCATAAGAATAGCATGATAAATGAAGAAAAGATCAAATTAAAATTACATGGGTCTAGCAAATTCAATTCCATAAATTTACAGAGCAGTATTTTTTGCAGTAAATTTACATAGTAGTCTAAGACAAAAGCAGATTGTTAGAGTGGGTCACTGCTTTGGAAGCAGCCCTAAAGTTGAAGAATGTTAGGTTGGCAAAGATGGCTTTGGATGTCCTTCACTCTCATCAACTCATTTTTTAGCTGGTATCTGAAGCTTGATCGTGCAGCTTGAGGATGATGAGTGTTGCTTGGTGTGGTTTTGAAAAGGAGGAAGGAGAGAGAGTGTGGGTACATGGGCACCTTACAAAAGAAGGGGTAAAAAGGATCCAATACACCGCAAGACCATGTATTTAAAGTACACATGATCATTCACCCTGTTTATATCTCTGTGTGCACCTATGTATATATCATCATCATCATCATAGCCTTTTCCCAATTAATTAGGTATGCTACACGAATCCTGGTCCGCTATTCTGCTCTATTAAATATATATATATATATATGGAAAAAGTTCATGTGCACCCATGTGCGTACCGCTATAGTAAGCGCCATACAGCCCAGATCGAATTTGGGTCGATTTGACAGTCATGGTTGTCCAAGAGTGTTTGAATTTTAATTTTTTTTCTACAAATCGGAATGATCTGAAATTTGAAGCGTGTGTACATCTTAGAGAGACCCACCTAATAAAAAAAAAATAATAATAATTCAGGAAAAAAATTGACCAAAATACCCTTGAAACTTTTTGAGGGTATTTTGGTCAATTTATTTCATAGAAAATATTTTTTTTGATATTTTTTGTAGATTCGCCTATTTTTTATGAATGCCCGCTTCAAATTTCAAATCATTCCGATTGGTAGAAAAAAATGAAAAATGAAACACTATCGGACATTTGTGATCGTCAGATCGGCCCAAATTCGATTAGGGTTGTTCGGAATTTACTGTAGCGGTATATGAATCAGCATACCGTAGTACCTATAGGTGAAAATGAACAGTGATTTCGCCTACTCTCATCACCACCCAAACGTCATCGCAGTTGTTCGGTAGTGTTTCAATTTTAATTTTTTTTTACTAATCGGAATGATCTGAAATTTGGAGTGTGTGTACATCTTAATGAGGTACACCTAATAAAAATATGAAAAAAATAATTTGTAAAATATAAATTGACCAAAATACCCCCTCTCTCTCTCTCTCCCTCCCACAACCCTCTCCCTCGCTCTCTCTCCTCCCACTGCTCTCTCCCTCATCTCTCCCACTACCATTCTCTCTCTTCCTCCCGCTGCCATTCTCTCTCCCTCTCTCTCTGTCCCTCCCGCTGTTATTCCCCATCCCTCCCTCTGCTTTTTTGTGATGTTTGTGAGAGTTGATAGCAATTTTATTTGCCAAAAACTGTATGGCAGAGTTTTTCCACAACAGTGCAAATTTTGTTTTGATGAATTTGTAAAATAGATTAAAAGTCCAATTGCTGAAATTTGGGTGAGATTTGAAAGAGAACACCCATTCGCAGAGAAATTGCACGACGTTCTCTCCCTCTGTTCTTGAGGGTTGCCATTTTTATGATGAATGAATATACTGTTCTTGAGGGTTGCTATGTTTATGAATATAGTCTCTCTCTCCCTTTGTTCTTTGAGGGTTGCTATGTTTTCTATGATTGATCTGCAACTTATGTTTCTTCTTAAACAAATTCTGTGATGTACTTGAAAGATAGGATTGATATGGGATTGTAGATTTGCGTTGTGCTCTTGCTTGGTTCTCGTAAACTGTTGAAACAATTAGATCTCTCCCTCTTACTTTGCGAAGGGCTATCTCAGCTGTTGGCCCCGGCCCAATACGCAAGAGGGCGTATGCTAGCCTTTCCCTATATATATATATATATATAGGTCCCCCGCTTGATGGATAATTGAAATAAACATGCGCAGTTAGTTTGTGCTTCTGCATTCCTATTATGACGTGGCATTATCTGGTAGTGTTGCCTTATTACTTGTGTTACCATGTACCATGTCAATACTTGTGTTGTGATTGTGCATTCAGGAATGTGGGTTCTATAGGTTTTGTAACTGAAACATGTAATCCTGGTTGCATGACTATGCAGAATTCATAACGTTCTGTCTGTCTCTCTACTGGCATTTCAACAACTGAACATCGGTTAGGGTTTCCATGATATTCATCAAAAAGAGAACTATAAGGTCATTGTTTCCTTGATGCATGAAACTTCAATGTGTTTTATTGATAATAATTAGTTAGATTATTGTTTGGAGCTCGTGAAAAATCATTTATATGAACCACTACTGAGCAATCATCTTTTCAAGGGATGGTTCTAATTCACGTGGATTCTGTTCACAGGGCTCAAGTGATATCGACCAGCTAGGGAAAATCTTTGCAGCCTTTGGGACTCCAAAGCCATCCCAATGGCCTGACATGATTTACCTTCCTGATTATGTTGAATATCAGTTTGTTCTTGCACCACCACTTAGGTCTTTGTTCCCAATGGCCAGTGACGATGCCTTAGATTTGATCTCAAGAATGTTTACTTATGATCCAAAAAACCGGATCACGGTGCAACAAGCCCTAGAGCACAGGTGCTTCTTTCTTATCCTTTTCTGATAGTTACTGCTATAGTATTTGAATATGGTGAGAGCATACTATACAGCATACAGTACTGGATTGTTAGCCATCTAATGCACAGGTTTTATATGGTTTTGGATGTATGGGTGGCGCAGTACGCTTTACCTTTCAATATTTTACTTCTATCATATAATAATTTTTTTAATACTCGTTTTCAATATTGAAAAGTATATGATTATATCTCTCATGCTGGTCTTCTCCTTTAGGTATTTTTCTTCAGTACCAGCACCGACAAATCCAGTGTTGCTTCCAAGACCTGCAGCAAAGGGTGAAGCAGTTAATAATATTCCAAGGCCTCCTGATCTTATTTCACAGGAAGGTCCAGTGGTACTCTCTCCACCAAGGAAGGCAAGGAGGGTCATGCTTTTTCCCGGATCTGAAGGGAATGCTTATGAAGATGGGACATTATTGAAGCACTCTGCAGTCACAAGTGGAAATACCGGTGGTTCTACAACTCAAAGCAAATACATGCCAATGTCTGTAGATGTGGATGCTCTTTTTGGGTCAAAACCTCCACCTAGACCCACTATTAGCAGGTATTGTTTACCATTTTTAATTAGGTTTTTTTCTTCTTTTATAGGAATTAGTTTGAGAGGGAAACAACTGAGGCATTTTTGGACAAATATTTATGGATTATGTAGGATGCTTGCAAAAAATGGAAAAGTTATTTGGAGCTTGTGTTTTCATAAGGGTTGAATTATGCTATGAATTTCTCTCATACTTTTTGAAAGACATTTGGGAACTGCAAAGAATATCTAACTATGAATCCAATCCTTGTGTTTCTCAGAAGGGTTGAATTATCCCTATGAATTTCTCACATACTTTTTGAAAGACATCTCCTATGTTGCTTGTGCTTCAAAGTAATTATTAAATGAAGTAGGAAATGAGGCCTTTGAAAATATATTCATGGATTTTATGGGTACTTAAGAAAAATGAGGTCCATGCCGCCTTACTTTAAATTTGGTTGTAGCAAGAATTGGATTAAATTTTTGAATCATTCTCTTCTGAACAAAGAAAATAAATCAGCTCAGGCTTAGGACCCTTGCCCCTGCCTTAGCCGAGTACTCGGGTGAGTCCAAGTGGACTTGGGCAAATCATGTAGGGGCCCAAAAAGCTCAAAATTGCAAAATAAAATGTAAATATTTAATAAAAATAAAAAATAATAAAAAGCAAAAGAAGTTATAAACATCATAAACATCTATAAAGGAATAAGTACATAGAAGATGGAATATGGAAAAATTGATTTATAGCTTGAGACAATTCAAAGAAATAAAAAAAAAAGAAGGAAATACCAAAAAATAGAGCATATAACATCAGATGTGAGAGGGACATTTTGTGGGTGTGTTTGTATGCGTGTTTGTGAGTCTATAAATTTTTTACAGTTTTTAATCTAGGATTGTATACAATGAGACCATTTACCTTTCATACAAGGTGGCCACAATTCCTTACAACCATTTGATGTGAAATTTGATAGCTTGGATGTGTCACAAAGTTCAAGAAGATTTCTTTTGAAGTTTGAGCTTAGTCAATGAAATAATTTCAGCCACCCAATTTCACATCCAATGGTCAAGATTAATGTGACCACCTTATATCAAAGGTAAATGGTTTCATTCTATACCTTCCCTTTTAATATACCTGAGGTTGTACCTTGAACTCACCTCGACAAGGTGCCGAGATTGAGTCACTCGCCCATGTCTGAGTTGACTTTGCGGAGATTTCAAACACTGCCTTTAAAAGCTTTCTGGTTGGTACATATTGTTGCATGGTTGTGTTAGTATTGTTGGAGCGAAACATAGTGTGTTTTAGTTCGAGCAATGATTTCATGCAACGGTTGTATAGTAATATGATGCAACAACTTTCAAAAACCATGTTATAGCCATTTGTTTGATCCAAAATTTGAAATATACACTCTTTTTATTCTAATGAACAATCACAAAAAAGGAAAATTTGAAAACACAAGTTAAAAAGTATTTTTTTAGCCCAATTAACATAGGCCGTTTATTTTGGTAAGATGCTTAGATCTAGGCTTTAGAAGGTTTTTTTCATTTCCAATTTTTTTGGATGGCTTTATTATCATTAGATGAATAATGTTAAAAAAGAAAAAAAATGATTTTGAGTTTATAAAGGTTAAGATTTTGAAATTCACCAAATGAATGGTTTAGATTTGTTTTTGGAGGAGATTCATTTTGACCATATCTAGGGTTCAAATTGAACGTTTTTTTTTTTGGGGGGATTGATTATTGAGATAAAGAGAGTGTATGTGCAAAATTTTAGTTCATACAAATACCACAGAAGTGTCGTTGCATGATACTATGATACAACTGTTGCATGAAACCACTGCCCTTTAGTTTCTCATGCCTAGAGACCCCGGTTTGTGTATATGCATGTGTGACTCACTGTGTGTGAGAGTGCACACGCATGTGTGTTTGAGAAAGAGAGAGAAAGAGAGTGAGGGGCCTCTGATGATGTTTGTTCACTTGCAGCACGGACAGGTCACATTTGAAGAGGAAACTTGATATGGAGCTTGAATTTCAAGATTCCCCCAAATAAAGCAATTTGTTTGTTGTTGGATTCAACAGTGTAATGCTTTTCCTCCAGCCATCATCAGCAACTATGGTGAGGCCCATTGCAGCAATGCATAATTTTTCATGCATACAGGCTCCAATTCAAGCTTTGCATTTGATTGAGAAATAGAAGAGGAGCACTTCCCTGTTTGAAATGGGAGTAAAGGTATATGATGCTCAAGTAAGAAGTGAATTCCAAATATTATTTAACCATGAGAGCTCTTGTAATCCTGACTAGCGATTGGCGGGAATTAGATGTGAGTTTGTTTTACTAAATTTTGTATGATTGGTTATACGAGGGCCACATTGATTTGACAGAAACATAACTATTTGCCATCCCGACGCTCCCGCTCTCTCCTCTCTTTCATGGATTCCTAGTCTCTCTGGCCTTGCTTTCTCTCACTATCTTTACTTTCTCATTTGGTTCTTGCCGTCTTAAGTCCTAAATGATATCACTACTCCCGGTTCTTTCTAGATATTTAAGGATGGTCTACAAAGAGGTTATGTATCTTTTGTATATGGAGATCACAATCATTTTTATTCATTAGATATCAAATTGGATGATTTGAGATGAGTCACAAAGTTCGATAATTTTTTTAAATTTTTTCGATAGTTTTTTAATGTTTGGGGTGGTACCCAGTAGGTCTAACATTAGCGTCATTAAACTGTTGTCTAGGGTGCTTTTCGAAGTGGTAGGAGGCAGGCATCATTAGATCACAAATACTGACTTTGGTAAGGATTCAGATACCAAATAGAAACTCATAAAACTGCCGTATAAGGTGATGATGATTTTTCCTCTTACGAAAAAGTCAAAAAGTTTCGGATTGATGCCATGGAGACGGAGCAGGGCGAAGACATTGGGAAGGGATGTAAAAACAGTGTCCTCGTACATGCTTTGACCTCTCTTATTGATTCTACCAAAGGTGCCGTCTGGATAGAGTCGAGCCTTTAAACAATCAAATTTGAGCCCACTTTCAAATAGTGTCGAGAAATATAGTTTTAATGCGGGAAAGTTTTGTGATAGTTTTGAATTATATTTTCTATCTTTAGCTATAAGATATAAAGCTTAAGAAAATAGTGTAGATTTATCAGATCAATGAAAACTTGAAAATCTTAAAAATTAGCAGTCAAAAAATGCATTACAAAGTGCCCTATTTATAAAACTTGAAATTCATTTTTTTCTCATGTCCATGAATCTAGATGCCGAGATTATCAATTTGATGATATTCAGGCATCAAAACGACCTATTCTAATGAATGTTTTGAAGTAGGCTCTAATTTGATTGTTCAGAGCCTAGGCTCTATATAAACTTTTCCCTTCTGCCAAAAACACGGAGTAATACTTTTTCTCAACAAAAAAATAAACTAGTGAAGAGGGATCATGACTTACCTGTCCCAAAAAGAGAGAGCCCTAGCCAATACCCTTTGTGTGCAATTTTAGAGAGAAAACCTTTCGAGTACTTGGTCTTTTTTTACGTACATGAGTGAGAGAGGGGGGGACACTCAAGTTATAGTTTTCAAAAGGGAATATTGTATTTTAATTGCATTCTTTTTTTCTATTTATACAATTAAGTTCAAATTTTATAGATCCATACTTATCACCATTAAACATTCGTAAACAATATTAAAAAGTATAATGAAGTTAAATAAGGTGTACCTCCAAATTTTCTCATAAACATAATTTTGGTGTAAAAAGGTCTAAAGATGGCTTGAGAATCTATTTTAATCTCTAATTAAAAAAATACTAAACTCCAAAAATGGTTTAAATCAAGCAGATCTATAAACACTTAGAAAATATTGAAAATGGATTGTCTAGATAATGTGTTGCAAGATACACTATTTTTGGGACTAGATATCTTTTTTTCTTTTCATATTCATACTTCTCAATATTAAGATATCCAGTTTGAGGGTTTTCCAACATCAAAACAACAATTTTTGATGGATTTTTGAGGTGAACTTTAATTCTACATTTTAAGGTCTATTAAAAAAAAAAGTTGCAACTTTATATAAAATGTTTCATTTTACATATTATAAAATAGGAAATTTTTGTAAATTTCCCTATATTCAATGATATAATTCACTAATTATAGAAAAGCGAAAGGCTTATTTAGACAAGGCATTGTTCTTAGTAAATATTAAAAACCATTCATGCCCAAAAATCGTTTGCAATAGAGAGCAGTGTTGTCAAAAGTCATAACAATCTTGAGTGGTACGACATAGCGGCGTTGCTGAAACAATCTTTAGTTTAACAAAGCTCCAAGTTCTCTCTCACTGTCTCTAAACATATGTTGATGGGAATCTACCTTGAACAGGTGAATCCTGATGGGATGGAACAAGCAAAAATGACAACATTTTGGAAATGAATGTTGTCGAAGTTACGAACTGAAGAAATTTCATTCTTGTCTATCCTTTGAGGAACATTTATAACACTCTCGATAAAGAGAAATTAAACTTTTTTTAAGTGAAACACGACATTCTTTCATCTGCTACTTGTTCAATGGCTTCAAATTAACCTGATTAGCATCCCATCCTTCCTTGCCATCAGTTGAGAGGATACATAAGTCCAACTAGATGGACTCTGGTGAGTAGCTAGATGGTCATTTTTGATAGTTCATGTGGGCTAGATTTCGAATCTTGGGAATTCCATATAGCCACCAGACCCGGATCACGATCACCCACCAAACCGCATACTGAAATATCTCATGCAACATGGACTTGTCGATGTTTCTGTGTATCAGGACTTCAAAGTTGTGAGATCCGTGCATGGCGCTTTAGAAACATTTCTCATGCATCATGGATTTGCGTGTCTATGTTTTTTTTATTTTTTTCTTCTTCTTCAGCTCATCAGGATCATAGTTAGAAAGTCCCTATTAAAAACACAATTTTTTCAAAATCTGATTTTTTGAAATCCATTAAGAATTCTGAGTTTTTCATATTAAAAAAAAACTTTACAAAGAAACTTCTTCCTATAACTTTATTTCTTCATTAACTTAATATTATAGAACTTTATTTTAAAGATAAGCACATTTACTATGGAAGTAAATCAAGCATCTTGATTTAACAAAAATTTTCACCAATAAGTTCCCGTAAAAAAAAATATACAAAGAAATACGAGCAATATATTTCCTAAAAACTAAGATATGAAAATTATTGTATAAACAAGAGAGAGATTAAATGATACTTAATATTTTGGGAGCTAGAAATTCAATGTGAGATTCGAATTTGCGTAAACAATTTGTTGCTTTTTTTATGCATACAGAAGTTTGATTAATTTTTTTATTTATTTTTAATAGGTGTATATACTATAGCATTTTGGATGTTTTTGTTGGATCTATTGAAAATTTAGACAATGAAGTGTCAAGTATTACTCTAATGATACTATGAAGGCCATAAAATTATTGTTTCATGGCTTTAATATGTCTATGTAGTAAACGCAAATCATAATCCTATTTATATTTTTTTTACATATTTGATTTTTTCACTCCAATTTTTATTAAAATCCGAAATAATGACAATTTTATAACTTAATTTATTTTTTGGCGTTCCGTATTATTGACCTAGTTGTTTCCTCTATTTTTTAAAATAAAACCAAAAAATATTTTGGTTCATGGCAATTTAGAAATATGTTCAGTTTTTAATGTCTTCTCATGAAATTTCACAATATAAGTACTTTACCTCAAACTTCAATTCTTTGAATATTAATATTTAAATGATGTGCAGACATATCGTGTTAAAAAGGCTAAATTTGAGCATTTTTGCCACTCATGTTGGTATCGCTTATACACGTAAAAATGATGGTAAACATAGGTGATCCTAAAACTTAGGAAATATCTGAAAAAATGTTACTTAGTGTGACGGTATTAAGGGCTTAAAGCCTGGCTTGAAAATTTTTGATGACCGGATCTATCTCATGGCGTGTCCGAGGGAAACGAGAGGTAAGTGAGAAGTGCAAGTGGGGTGTGCACTCGTGTATACACGGGAAAAGTATACAATGAGAATATATTTTTGTAAGGTGGTTGCAATTAATCTCGACTATCGAATGTAAAACGGAGTTGTATTTATTCGATTGATCAAACTCAAAGTTTAAAAGAATTTTTTCAAACTTTTTACACATGCAAGCTATCAGATTTCACATCGTATGATTATAAATAATTGTGACCTCTTTGTATTAAAAGTAAATGGTCTCCTTATATATAATCTTGTATATATGGGTGAGGTTTTAGAAAGTGTCAAGGGGTATCCCAAAACTACTCGGTGCTACAAAAGCGGTGCAATGGCATAAAGGTTTATTATCACTCTTAATTATGACATTTAATGCTCCAAAAATGATACCGATTTAGTCGATGTAAAAATAATTAATTTTTTTGAAAATAGACGATCGCATTACAAGATTTAGTATTTCATGACTTGAATTTTTTTTATATCAATATATCTTAAAGTTGAGATGATCAATTCGAGGGTTTTTCAATATTGAGAAATTGAAATAGTTAAAAAAAATTCAATCTTGCAAAAAAATCTAACATTTTAAGATTTTTTGGAGTTTTTCTTTCTCGGACATAGTTTTGGGGGACGAGAATGGCCCATGCCCCTTCACCCTTTTTAGGAGGGAAAAATCCCCAAAATGTCCCCTAAGCTTATCTACCTCGAGGTGCTGCTTAGGTGGAAACGGCGGCAAGGCCGTGTAGGGCTGGGCTTGGGCTTATTTTTTTTTTAATTTTATTTGGCCCGGCCTGGCCGTGATAGGGTTAGGGCATTTTTGGCTCGGTTAGGATCAACTTGTTACTTAGGTTTTTTTTAAGGGTGCAGTCGGCATACAGATGCATCCGTAGTTGTAGAGGTAAGGTGCACCTTCAAATTTTATCATGGCATATATTTTTGATGTAAATTGTTATTAGGATTATCTCAAAAACTATTTTTATATGTAATTATAAAATTTTAAATTTAAAAAATGGTTAAAATCAAGTAGATCTATAAGCATACGAAAATCTTGAAAATGAAAAATGTAGATAATATGTTGTAAAATACACTATTTTCGAGACTTAAAATCTTTTTATTTTTCATGGTCATACATTTTCGATGTCGAGACGATCAATCAAAGGGTTTTGCAACATTAAAACTACCTTTTGTGATGGATTTTTAAGGTGGGTCTGTGTTTCTACATTATAAGGTTCTATCCTTAGATGAACTTTTTCCTTTTTTTTTAATCGCGGTCAACTTTCACATTTGATCGTTGTGGGCAAATAATATCATTTGAATACTGAATAAAGATCATCAAGATGCCCTAAGAGGCATTAACATGATTTTTAGATTGGTAAAAGATTAGGCTCTGAAATCCTAGCTCAGGTGAGAGGGAGAAACCCTAGGTTCGAAAAGATGCTTATCAGTCGCCTTAGATGAAGAGAGCGTAGTGGAAGAGAGAGGGAGAAACGGATGAAAACCTGTTCCGACTTTCGCTCATTATTGCGAAAGTTACCGTACACCCCACCCATGTAAAACCGCTTTCCTTTAGAGGAACACGGGTAAAAACCTTGTAAGACTTTTTTACTCATTCATAAATTAATTAATTTGTAGGGGTGAGAGTCGGCTATTTTCACCCTGTTACACAGTTATCAAACGCTATCTAAGGATTGCCCTTATAGCCGTATGGCTACCGCAACCGAGAGACTCGCCCGCCGTCTAACAGTCGAAGGCTGTGGACAAATAATGCCATTTATGATTATTAAGATGCCTTAGGAGGCATTCACATGATTTTCAGATTGGTCAAGAAAGATAAAAGACTAAGCTTTGAAATCTAAGCTTGGGTGAGGAGAAAAAACCATAGGTTTTTTTCGAATAGATGTTTGTATTTGGCTTGCTTTCTTGTCAATTAAGCTGTTCCCCATCAATTTAGTATCAGAGCTCAATATTTTTTCAACAACAAGGACTGAAAACAACAATCAACTACCTTTGGACAATGTTTTGAGCATTCAATATAAATCTTGTTGATTTTAACAAGGTCTTGTTGATTCTCTTCTTAGGGTTTGGGATTTCAGTAAGCTCATGACATCGACAAGGGGTAGTGGAAAGGGGGTTTCTTAGACCCGCTTCGTGATCCCGAACATGAAAAAAATTGAACATCTTAAAAGACAATTGAGCAACTGCTGCATAATCATAAAATAGTTTCAAAAGTGTAAAATGCTAAAAATTACATCACTCATGGGTATTTTGCTAAATTTCCCTTTCAGTTATTTTAAAATATTTTTTATATTTTTTACAAATTTGAGACAGCAAGAAGTGTAAGTTCTTCAAAATTTGAACTTAATTTATGTAAAGGGAAAAAAGTAAATTAAAATATGGGCAAGCTTTCTATGCTTTATCTACAACATAAAACTTATATACGTCCCCCTATCCAATCGTCCACTCTAAATGGACAGCGGAGATAACCCCAATCACAATGTCATGTCTGTACACTATTTTATTTTTATTTTTTAAAAATATTTTGATACCAAATTTTGAGCGTCAACTCCTCTCTTAAACTCGTACTTGTAAAAAATATAAATTTTTTTCAATGAACTAAAATAACAAAAATACCCTTGAAAGTTTCAAGAGGTATTTGATCATTACATTTTATCAAAAACTTATTCTTAATACTTTTTTAGGTGTGTCCCATTGACAATATGGCACATGCCAAATTTCATATTCATACAATTTATAGAAAAAAAACTAAAAAAAAAATACTCTGAGGCGTTGGAACTAGATCAAACGGTTAGTGGCTCATTTGATCTAAATTAGACAGTTGTATGTTGCAAGGAAAGTATAGAAAGCTTTCCCTTAAAACATACTAGGACCCGCTTTCTATGCGGCTAAGCTTGCATATGTTGAAATGCGCACCTAATA